ACAAAAGGGTCTGAATAGTGACAGCAATCCTGAGAAAGAAGAACTACACTGGAGGAATCATGCTACCTAATATCAAACTATACTATAAATCCATAGTAATCAAAACAGCCTGGTACTGATGTAAAAAAAGACACATAGAGTCATGGAACAGAATACAGATCCCCAAAACAAACCCACAATTTTATAGTCAGTTTATATTTGACAGAGGAAGCAAGCACGTACAATGGGCTAAAGATAGTCTATTCTTTAACGGTGTTGAGAAAATTGGACACATACATGCAGACAAATGAAACTAGGCCACTTCCTACCTACACCACACACAAGAATAAATTCAAAATGAATTAAAGACTTAAGTGTTAGGCCCGAAATCATAAAAATTTTTAGAAGAAAACAAAACCTTGGACATTGCTCTTAGCAATATATTATTGAATGAGAGAACATATTTGCCGATACATCTGATAAGAGGTTAATATCCAACATTTATAAAGAACTTACAAAACTCGACAACAACAACAAAAAGGCCCAAACAACCCAATTTAAAAAATGGGCAGAGGGTTTGAATAGACACTTCTCCAAAGAGGACATACTGATGGCCAACAGACATATGAAATGATGCTCAGTATCACTAATCATCAGAGAAATGCAAATCAAAAACACAGTGAGATGTCATCTCACCTGTCAGAATAGCTATCACAAATAAAGCAACAAGCAAGTGGTGGTGAGGATGTGGAGAAAGGGGAACCCTTTTGCACTGTTGGTGGGAATGCTGACTGCTGCAGCCACTGTGGAAAGCAGTAGGGAGATACCTCAGACAATTAAAAATGGATCTACCTTTTGACCCAGTGATCCCACTTTTGGAAATATATCTGAAGGAACCCAAAATACTAATTCAAAAGAACATAAGCACCCCGATGTTCATTGCAGCATTATTTATAATTGGCAAGGTATGGAAGCAGCCCAAGGGTGCATCAGTAGATGAGTGGATAAAACAATTAAGGGACATTTATACAATGGAATACTACTTGACTGTAAAAAAGAACATTTTACTCTTTGAACAATATGGATGGACTGGGAGAATATCACACTAAGTGAAATAAACCAGAGAAAGGCAAATACCATATGATTTCACCCATATGTGGAATCTAATGCAGAACCTGAAATAACAAGGAAAATAGAGACAGACTCACAGATGGAGAGCAGGCTGACAGCTAAGAGAGAGGGAGGCTGAGCAACAGGAAAAAGGACTCATGCACATGGAGAACAGTGTGGTCATTGCTGGGGGAGGTGGGTATAAGGGGACTAAATGGTAATAGAAAAAATACAATAAAAATTTAAAGATGATAAAATATATAACAAAAAAGTAAGGAGTGAATTAGTGTAGGAGTGTGATTTAGGGTGATTTAAATTTCCTTTTTTCTGTTAACCTAAATGTCCTATAGTGTCTGTGTATTATTTTTACAGTAAGAAAATATGTAACTTATTTTTATGTTAATCAGGCTTATGTAACAGTTTAGATTTCTAACCACCTTTGGCAAGAATTATTTTATGAAATAAAATTATTTCACATCTTCATCATTTAAAACCTAGGTGCTCTTGTTCAAAGTTCCTTGACCCCTATTCTGTTACCCAGTCTTCACCACTGATGGGCCACAGTGAGCCCAGAGGATTATGGGGCATTGGGATGAACTTGGGCTACTGGAATCGGGCTTTGTGAGCAGCCTCCTTCCTCTGAAAACAAACAGACTAACAAACTAACCAATGTAAGACCCATGGATTACACAGGTGAACCCAGGCAGATCTCCTAACCATGGCTCCTGCATTTCCATTATGTCTCAGAAACAATAATTTATATTCACACTTTTCCCTATTGCCTTAGACAGTTATTAACATATCAAGGATAAAGTGGGTCAAATATATGGTGACAGAAGGAGATTTGACTTTAGGTGGTAAACACACAATGCAAAATGCAGATGATAGAATTTTACTTTTGAAACCTATGCAATTTTATTAACCCATGTTTTCCAAATAAATTTAATAAATGTAAAGAATTTGGAAAGAGAAATCATCAACTCCACCCCTGCCATCGATTTCAGTGCATGTAGTACGGCAAAGTAAATTTCATAGGTGTGATTTTTCTCAAGATAATGTGCCATGTGTAAAATATAATAATGGCATTTTGCAAATGAAATTTCATTTTTAAAAAGTGATTTATAAACCATGTGGGTTATAATGTGGGCTTCAAGAAATTGTTCAGTGTAGAATGTTCGAGACTGAGAACAATGCCTCCAATTTGTCAGCCACTAAATAAATATTTAAGAGTAATATTTTCTTTTTAAAAATATTTTTATTTATCTGTTTTTAGGGAGAAGGGAAGCGAGAGAGAAAGAGAGGGAGAAAAACATCAATGTGTGATTGCCTCTTGAGTGTCCCCTCTGGGGACGTGGCCCACAACCCAGGCATGTTCCCTGAGTAGGAACTGAACCAGCAGTCTTTGGTTTGTAGTCCAGCACTTAGTCCACTGAGCTACACCAGCCAGGGCAAAAGTAGTGTTTTCTGACCTTCTATAGATCTGCTGCATCGCATGGCTTATAATGTGGCATAGTTTTTTATTATGAAACTACCTTTCTCAACAGTAGACAGTGAAAACCAGGGAGGGACAATGTTTATCTTGTACACCATCGTATTCCTAGAGCCTGACAATACTTATGTGTCCTAGACTCAAGTTGAATTCAACTAAGTTGAATGAATTAAAGAAATGCCCATATTGTTTTATTCATCTATCATCCTCAGTACCTAATCTTGGAAGGCATGTGGCTTGATTCTCATTTGATTAAGAATTTGCCTAGAACAATGGAGATATATTTACTGTCTTTGTTGAACTCAGAGGATGCTGGGGTGTTAGGCTCAGCTCAGCCTAGATGGCCCATTGCTATAGCTTTTGGAGAAGCTCTCCATTTGGGGTATTATTGTGCTCATTAGGGACCAGATGATGCCTTTGACTCCTTCCTTCCAATGTGGAAAAACGTACAGAGAACAGAATTAAAGCTCTACATTCTGTGGTAGTTCAACTGAGCTGGACCTAGGCAAACTTGTTCATCACCTATCATTTTTGTGAAACAAATTCTGAAAACATGTTTAAGATGTTTTGAAGAATATCCTGATCTCTGAGAGCAGCAAAAGATTAGGTCAATATGACTGATGCTAGAGAAGCTCAAGTCTGGGAAAAAGGGAGCCTGGTGCTCATTTTATAGTAATTCTTTTTTTCCTTGTGAAATACTATAGAAAATCTTCCTCCCCTTAGATTAGTAGGACAGCAGTTGGCAGAATTTAGAGAAATCTCACTAAGCTGAACATCTTTTCTTTAAAGTGAATTCAAGTTTGAAGTGGCAGCTCCTGTTCTTTCTCCTAGGGCCTACAAAACTCTGCCCTCACTCTCAACAACAGAAATAAAATGAGACAAACTTGAATTCATATTCTTGCTATGTCACTAGCTAATTATTTAACTGAGGCAGGTTACTTAATGCCCTAAGCCTTAGTTCCTTATTTGTAAAATGCCAACGATGGTGGGAGTGTGTACCCTGCAGGATGCTAATAAGGATTGATTATATAGATATACATATAATGTGTAATGAGGATTATCTTCCTAGTCTCTAATCCTCATTATGCATTGCTTAGCACAGAGTTATAATAGGTACTCCATGTGTGGTAGCAGCAATTAATTAATAGCATTCTAACCACTGATGAGAATATAAAAACAGAAGTTGACTTAACCTCTGTGGTTTAGTTTCCTCATTATCAAATGAAGATAAAAATACTTAATATTATAATTGACCATATTTTGCCATGTATAATGCATATGTTTTGCCCAAATTTTTGAGGGAAAAACCAGGTTGCACATTATATGTGGGTACAATGATTACATGCCTTGGGCGTAATAATCCTGTGTATAATGTGCACAAAAACATGGGTGTGCATTACACACAGCAAAATATGGTATTATAAAGAAATGCCTGAAAAAATAGATATGGGTAATCAGCTTATGAATGGACATCATTGTGTGTTGGTTTACTTTTGTACTCCTGGTTCTGAGCTCAGCCTAGTGATACTTCACTGAGGGAAACGAGTCGAGTTGATCTGGTGACAGAGAGTCTAAGGAGGGTGTAATTCCTTCTTTTCTCCTGAAATCTGGACTGTCCAACCTCCGTCCTTCTTCATGCGAAGCCCCACACAGGGAACATGCATGGTCTCCTTTACTGCTCCCCAGAAAGAGCAACAGAATGGCCTTGGCATTATTTTAACAAGAACCTGGAACCAGAAACATTTAAATGAGTATTTCACAAGGTGGTCAACTGTTGATGCTGCAGATGTATTTTAAGAAACCAGCGACCCTTCAAAGTCATGTACTATATTTATATATTTCATAGGTACTGAGTAAAATCTTACTGAATTGAATTACAATTCAATTTTATATGGCATGTATGTTGATGAAGGAGTGTATTTTAATATTAATTTTATAGGCTAATATACTTATTAAATATTAATTCTTATGAGTCAAGCATTATCTGGTAATTTTAAAACCTATGCACACTATGGTAAATAATTTGAAAGCTACAATATCTGCCCTCAAAAGTTTTAAAATGTTTTAACTGTATATTTCTTTGATGTACTTTGTGAAAGCAGGAAAGACACATGATTATTGTCAAATCAATGAGTCAGACAATGGATGCAGTGGAACATATAAGACACTATTCAGAATGTTCACTGTTGCTGTTGAAAATAATCTATCATTGTGAATAATTGCTTTTGAAATATTGATCAAAATTGATCTGTCCAATTTTCTGGCACGGGCTCTGTACATCAAATCTCACCCTGGAATTACATAAATCAATTTAGTCTGGACTTCTGTAAAAACTGGGCGGGGGGAGACAGAAGTAATTTCTGAGTTGTCAGTGACTGATGGATGTTCTGATTTCACAGTTTTAGTAAAGAGAAGGTCTTACCGTAGCTGTCATAGGCATCCTCACTTACTCCATGACCGTAGTCATAGTATTCAGGCACACTGCAACAGATTTAGACAGCAATCAATGTTACTGGAATCAGGATCCACCCAGAAACTCACATGGAATTTGAAAGCAAAATGTGTGCTAAAGTAGTCTCCCAAAAACCTTTAGGCATAAAACACAGTCCTAAAGAAATAGGAAGAAAAATACAGGTTATTGACAAGGACTGCTATAATTTTCTCATGCCACCTCAGTACTTCTTTATCTCTATCCTTCAACTTATAAATGAAATTTCCCCTAAAATACAAGTATAATCTTCAAAATTTGTCAAGAGGAGAGTTATAAAACATCTATTTTCAAGAAAAGGTGCTATATAAGATGACAATCTGCTCTATAGTATATGGCTTTTAATGCTGTTACCCTAAAAAAGTACATAATTTCATCTTCACTTCCGAACACTGAAATAATATTTATACTCTTCTCTAGCCCTCCCATAGCATATCCATGCTGTTCTCAAGTCTATAAGCTATTTATTCTTACTTAACATTTTGCTAGATTCTACATTTTAGTAACTGAGAGAAAGGTGTTCTTCCTTATATTCCTACTCAAGTTATTTAAAGGCTTTCCCTAGTACAACAGTCATCACCAGCAGTTCCCCCATTAAGACATCGTTCCTATTAGCATCCAGGCATATTGCCCATTTTGAGGTAGGGCTCAAAACGCCCTCCCTCACTCCACCATCTCCAGCTAGTGATTATCTCTTCTCTGCCCCTTTACAGCAAAACTGCTTAAAAAGAATTAACTGTTCGTTTTTTTCACTGCCTCTCGTTTTATATGCTTTTGAAGACATTCCAGTCAAGTTGTTTTCTCCACAGAAACATCTCTTGTCAATATCTTGACATTTTCAAATCCAATGGTAAAGACTTGGTCCTCATTTTACCCTGGTACCATTTAACACAGTTGCTCATTTTTCACCCTTCAAATTCTTCAATTGCTTCTGAGATGTCCTCGCTCTTGGGTCTCCTATGCTCATGTCATTTTCTCCTTCTTCTCTACTGGTACCTCTTTATTTTTCCAGCCACTTAATCCTGAAGACTACTAGGGTCCAGTTTTTAGAATTTTTTTCTCTTGATACTCCCTAGGCGACCTTTAATATGCTATCTGCTCCTATGGCTTTAAAACCATCTCTATTCTGATAGTCTCCAAGTTATATGCCCAGCCTTGGCACCTCCCCTCTACTCTGGTCTCACGTATCCAGTTGCCTTCTGTACATTTTCATTTGGATGTCAAACTTAACATATCCAAATATAAAAATGTTTACTTTCGTTCCAATTCAGACTCACTCCTTTTGCATGTTCCCATCTTTATAAATGGCAACACCCTAATTAGTGTTACTTCTGCTGAAAACTCTGGAGTCTTGTCCTTTTCTCTCATATCTAATGTTTAACCCAACAGCAAATTCTTTCATTTCTACTTCCAAAATACATCCAGAGTTTAAACATTTTTAAACAACTCCACAGCTATGACTGTGGTTACTTCGATTGCCTCCCATTGAAACACATACAATCTCCTTCTAACTGGTCTCTAAGTCCTGATTTCTTGGTTTCAATTTTTATCATAGATGTCAATGTGGTTCTTATAAAAGTAAATTAGATTATATTAATGCTCTATTCAAAGTTCATCAATAGCTCCCCAAACTCTTTAGAAAAAAATTTAAAAATCTTATTTTGCCTGTACACACTGACCCCCTAGAATTTCTTAGTCCCCTCCCACTTTCCCCTTTGCTTATGTGCTCAGGAAACTTTGGCCTCTTAGCTGCTTCCTAAACATGACAAACACATTACTATTTCAGCACCTGTTCATCCGATATTCCCACTACCTGGAACACACCTTCCCTAAATATTGAGTGGTCCCCTCTCGTTCTTTCAGAACTCACACAGAAGTCATTTACAAAGGATTTCTCCCACACTCTGATTAAATTAGCATTCACTCATCTTTACTATACATTGTGGATCTTAGTATTTATCAATTATTTCTGTACATATTATAGAAACATACAAACACACATTTGTCTATTCCTTATTTGATGTCTCCCACTTCTGGAATGTAAAAGCTCCCTGGTATAGGATTTGATCTGTCATTAGTTCATTGCTCTCATTGTGCCAGGCTGACTGATCTGGAAGAATGTTTGGGACATAATAGCTGCTCAATAAATATTTATGGAATAAAAGATTGTATTGCTCATAAGAAAATTAGGCACCATTTATATACTATAAAAATGATACTATTTAAGTACTATACAAAAAGTGGAAATTATTTTATTTGAGCTTAGTATTGCATAGTGAAAGTTCAAGCTCATGAATATAGAAGAAATAGAAATGTAAAAACACAAGGGAAAGAGTAATTATGAAGAAAAATATTCATTCTACAGGATATGCTTATTGACTTATTTATCCCATAAATATTTGTTGAGTACCTACTATATGCTTGAAGTGCTTCCAGGTGCTGATGATACAGTAACAGAAAAGAAAGACCTCTCCTTCGATGACTAAGACAAGGTCCTTTGAGATGTGGCCATTGTGTCCTTCTCAAGGTACAAAGTTGAACCTTTCTCACATATATAAATCGCCTGGCCACTCTAGAGGACTATGAGGATCATTTATTTGTGAACATAAATCATAATTATTTTATTTCATTAGATGTTACATTTAGGATCTGCAGTTTGCACTGCTAAATGTCCCACCCTGCACACCTTTGCAAAGATTAAAAACAAGAAAAAAGAAGATAATTCTGGTTGACTTCACTTATCAGTTCAAAAAATATTTTGGGAGGTTTGGCAGATATTAAGAGCAATAAGATAAATTAAGTCTCATATTTTGGAGGTCCAAACTCAAATGTGTAAATTATAAAAGACATTATTTGCTTAATTCTTTTGCTAGTGTTTTTATTAACATCTTGTAGTGAAAGAAAGGCTCCACTACTATTAAATAGTATTTCTTATTGATTTAAACCTTTTTTATTCCTTCACTCCTTCTACCATTTGATTTTTTAATTAAAATTTTTTAAATGGGGAGGGGCCTTCAACAAGAAACTACTTGGTTGGCCAAAAAGATTTTTTTTTTGTAAGCTGTCTGTAGTAGTATTAATTATCTTTACCTTCATTCAAAACAATTTGTTGGACTGTATTGTGACAGCTGTCATACCTGTGTGCATTAATTCACACTTACCAAAATTGGTGAATTTTTGTGTAATTATTTTAATATTGAAGATGGAAGAAAATAAAATGTTTATGCTTTATTATTTCAAGAAAAGTAAAAATGCGACTGAAATGCAAAATGAAAAGGATTTGTGCAGTGTGCGGAGAAGGTGCTGCAACTGACTGAACGTGGGGAATGTGGTTTGCAAAGTTTAGTGCTGTACATTTTTCACTGTATAATGTTCCATGGTTGAGCAGAGCACTTGAAGGCGATAGGGATCAAATTGAGACATTAATTGAGAGCGATCAACATTCTACCCCAAGGGAGATAGCCGACATACTCAAAATATCCAAATCAATAAAGTTATTGGTGAGAATGAAAAGCATGTCTTTTATTTTATGGAAAAATATATGGACTTTTTGGCCAACCCAATAAATAACTTGTCCGTTTGAAACTCTCCTTCCTCTCACCTTGAAGAAGCAATAATAGCCATGATAACAATAAAAATGTATATCTAATACAATTCCAGCACTTAACACAGGCCAAGTACTGCTAAGAGCTTTACATGCTTTCTCCTATATAATCACCATAACAATTTCTGAATTGGTATTAAGCCAAGTACTGAAGAGGTACTTTATGTCTAGCTGAGGATCTATGTTTAGCTGATTAAATCACTTGTCCTAAGCTATACATACAGTCCTGTGGTGAATCTGAGATTTGAACCTTGATGCGTCTGATGACAGAATGCATGTGGACATTTTAAAATGAGGTTATTTGTTTTTTTGGTGTTGAGTTGTATATGCCCTTTATAAATTTTGGATATAAACCCTTTATCAGCTGTATCATTGGTGAGCATAGTCTCCAGGTCAGTGGTTTGTTTTTTCATTTTGCTGTTGGTTTCCTCTGTAACAGCACGGATGGAACTGTGGCTATTACGCTAAGTGAAAGACAAATACCATATGATTTCACTAATGTGTGGAATCTAACAAACAAAATAAACAAAGGAAAAAATAGAAACAGACTCATAGCTACAGAGAACAGACTGACGGCTGTTAGAGGGTAGGAGAGTTAGGGGCTGGGTGAAAAAGGTGAAAAGATTTGGAAAAAAACTCAAAAACAGACAATAATATGGTCGTTACCACAGGGAAGGGGGGTGAGGGATAAAAGAGGGTAAATGGGGGATAAATGTTTACAGAAAGAGACTTCACTTTGGGTGGTGAACATACAATACTATATACAGATGATGTATTACAGAATTGTACCCTTGAAAGCTATATAATTTTATTAAGCAATGTCATCCCAGTAAGTTCAATAAAATTTTTTAAAAAAGAACTTAGGTTGATAATTTATCATTTATCTAGTGTATTCAAACAGTCATCCTCAACTTTATCTGCATAATACAAGGCAAAAACATGGGAAATGATTAGAAAGGTCAGATGAGATCTGAGCCCCAACTATATTTACCTCCTTCTCAGGAAAATCCAGCTACCATCAAGAACAAGGGCCTATCCCAAGCACATAAAATTCTCTACACCTTCTCATTCTCTTCGCAATTATTTCCTCTTCTAGGAAGTGTTCTCAGACCCCAGAAAACCCTGCAATGTGTTCTGACAATGCCGAATTCTGTCTAGAAAGTATCCAGCCATATAATAATGAAAAGTAGAGACATTTATGGAACAAGATACAAGAAACATTGTACATAGGGCAATGAAGCCTCAGTCCCCTTCAAAGTAGGCCCCTTGGGGCCTCACATAGTTCTCCCAGTCATCATCACCTGCCCCATCTTATTTCCCAGAATCTCATTGACATTCTGAAATCTCTTTCCAAAGGTGATTTTAGTTTGGGGAAAAACCAGAAGTCAT